ACATTTTTGGTCACCCATATTTTGTGTTTGTTAGTATAAGGGGTGGTCGTTGATGGGACGTGTAATGAGGTTGCTTCGTTGAATTTGTTGATAAATGTTTGATATTTTTCGGAAATGTTCAAGCCGTCGATATATATATATATATATATATATATATATATATATATATATATATATATATATATATATATATATATATATATATATATATATATATATATATATATATATTTTTTTTCTTAGCTTCAATTATTTTGTTCATTTATGATTTTTGCTCTTATATGGATTTTGGATTTTATTTGGATTTTTTAAGTTCATTATATTAACATTATATATGCTCATAATAAAAGTGCAAAGATAACGTCGCCGGTTTTTAAAAGCCTTCAAAACATTAAAAAAAATAAAGCAGTTGGACCGGATGAAATCAATGGTAACATAATTTTAAATTGTTTTGAACAAATAAGACATATTCTTTTTAAAGTCTTTAAATCATCAATCGAGCAAGGAATCTTTCCTGATCAATTGAAAATTGGTAAAGTTATTCCACTATTCAAAAGTGGTGACAAATCTGACATTAGTAATTACTGGCCTATCTCTATCTTGTCTATATTTTCAAAAATACTAGAAAAAACCATGTTCAATAGAGTATTTAATTATTTTAGTTTAAATGATTTATTATTCAATAACTCAACTAAGCATGCAATTATTCAGTTGGTTCGTGAAATTTCCAATTCTTTTGAAAAATCTCAATTCACATTAGGAATTTTTATCGATCTTTCAAAAGCATTTGATACTGTCGATCATAATATTTTGCTTTATAAACTTAATTATTACGGAATAAATGAAAGAGTAATTAATTAGTTTCAAAGTTATTTATCTAACAAAAAACAATTTGTTTCTTGTAATGAACTTAATCATAAACAGTTTTTAGATGTTTCCTGTGGTGTTCCGCAAGGTTCCATCTTAGGCCCTCTTTTATTTTTAATATATATCAACGACTTGCATAAAGCATCAAATCTTCTAAGTATTATGTTTGCTGATGACACAAACTTATTTCTCTCGAACAGTGACATCTATCTACTATTCTCCGTGATGAACAAAGAACTTCAAAACATATCTAAATGGTTTAAAAGTAACAAATTAACATTAAATGTAAGCAAAACAAAATGGATTCTTTTCTACCCTATCTCCAAAAAACATTATCTTTCCCCAAATCTACCAAAAATTTTTATCAATCATATTGAAATAAAAAGTGATTCTGTAGCTAAATACCTGGGGGTTTTCATTGACGAGAACATCACATGGAAACATCATATTAACTATGTCTGCTCGAAAGTTTCAAAAAGTATCGGAATTTTATATAAGGCGCGTACTCATTTAGATAAAAATAATTTAAAAAACTTTATTACTCTTTTATTCATAGTTATATAAGTTATGGAGTTATTGCCTGGGGTAGCACAAATCAAAGCAAGTTACAATATCTCTATCGCCGTCAGAAACATGCAATCCGTTTAATTAATTCTGCGGATCGGTTCGCACATTCCTCAATATTTTTTAATCAAATGAAAGTACTCGATATATATAAACTAAACGTATATAAAAATTTATCTTTTGTTTATATGTGGAAGTATGATTTATCTCCTTCAATTTTTAAAGACCTTTTTATTTTGAAACCATTAACCAAGTTTAACATGAGAAATAATAATTATTTAAATGAACCACTCTGTCGAACAAAGTTCAATCAATTTTGTATTACTTATCGTGCAGCTCATCTCTGGAACAAAATTATTTTGCCCAACTTCGACTTACCACTAACTTACCCTGTTTTCAAAAATAAATTAAAAGATCTCATTCTCTCTATTGAAAATATCTTAGAATATTTTTAATTTATCTTGTGATGAAAAAATAATTTTTATTTTCAAGTTTTGTTTTATACTTGCTTACGATTTATTTTTATTTATCTAAGTACGATCTAATGTTTTTATGTTATTTTTACGTGCTCATTGTAATAACGTTTTTTTTTTAATAATATTATGCGTACTCTCTTTTATAAAAGGCTTCTGACGATAAGATCATTGTGATCTTCTTTTAGAAGCCTTGTTTGTATTTGAGAAATATGTAATTTATATATATTATGTCAAGTGTAAACAAAAAAAAAAAAAAAAAAAAAAAAAAAAAAAAAAAAAAAAAAAAAAAAAATTCGCGCGGGGAGGGGGTGGGAGTGTTTTTCCTAAAGTTTCTCTTTTCAATTTAAATTTTAAAATTCTAAAAAATGGTAGACCAAGGGCTCCGCAAAAAATACCCTCACTCCCTACCTCTCCTCCGACGCTGAGATCACTTTGTCGATCAGAGTGTATCGCAGTATTTGAAAATACTTAAAAATAAAACTATTACAAAAAAGAAAAAGAAAATCACAAAAAATCACAAGTCAAAATAGTTATAAACCAACTATACATTTTTATTGTACAAATTTTTAACAAGTAAAACGTGTGCCAAATCGATATTATATTTTCTTTTTATCACCCGGCAATAAATTACAGGTAAAAAAAAATATAACAAAATAGTCACCAATTAAATTAAAATCAGCTAAAACGACTCACCTCTCGCAGTTAGCATTAAATGCTAATAACCAGCCGATGTGTTTTCTACAAATTATTGGATCAGACTTCTCGGGACATTCTCCTCCATTAAAATTTTAATTGACTCTCTCTTTTCTCATAAACACCAAAACCAGAACTTTTCTTTCAATATTGCCACAATATCAGCTTGCAGGTCTTCGATAGGTTGCGTGAATTTTTTTTTTTTGTCGTTTATTATGCACTGGACGAAGTTTAAACCACGAAATACGAAATTTAAATCATGAAATCAGCAGAGTTAGGTGTATTCAAATTTTGTTGGTTCAAGTTTTTTATTTTGATAATATTTTTTTTTATAAACTCTTCTTAAAAGACCACTTAAAAGAAAATAATAGAAAAATTGCTCTTCTAATTTTGTTTAACTAGATAAGGGTGGGGCAATGTTGGTCAATTTTTCAGAAAAAAGGCTTAGATAGATGCTTTTTTTTATCTGTATGCTGTAAGTGGTTAATATAACTCTTAACTTTAATTATCAGTTTACTAAAAAAATTCTTAACTATATTTTTGATTCCAAAATTAAACAGAGATTTTTTTAATCAAAAACTTAAGGCTTCAAAAAAAAAAAAAAAAAAAAGTGTATGAAAATGTGCTATAGCTTATAGAAAATGTTTCATTTGGAAGAAAAAAATAATTGGAGAATTTGGTTCAATTAGTTTTACGACAAAACGATGGATACTTTTTTTTAAATAAGCAACATTGTCGGATAGGGCGATGTGGGATAGGGCTACAACATTGTCGGATAGGGCATACAACATTGTCGGATAGGGCATTGTCGGATAGGGCTATATGTCAATGTGCATTGTTCCGTTAAGAATCTAATACTTATACAAAAATATTTACTATTAAAATGAAAACTAGTATAAATAAGAAGCCTATGTTTCTAGATTCATGTTGCTATGGATTCATTTAGATAATCATTTAAGATGTAATGATATTTTAATACTTTTGCATTTATTGAAAAACATCTACAGAAGTAATATTTATTGAAAAACATCTACTGAAGTAATATTTATTGAAAAACATCTAATGATGTAAACGGGGAAATTTAGGCCTATTGAACTTAACTCAAACCGAAGCTCCTTAGACAACTTTAAAAATTATATATATAATCATATTTTAATATAGTTTATTAAAAATGATGTCTAATGATGATTTTAAGATTGTAAACTGTTTTGCAACATATTTTTCGCTAAATATCAAAAGTAGCTAAAAAAATAGACTTAGATTACCCCACCCTACTCATAATTAATTTAAAGTTTTTCCATTGGTATAACAAAATGAAAAGTCTTTATTACACTTAAGCTATTTTGAACACAGCAACTATTACGCGTACACGATGCCAATTTATGGAAAAGGTTCAAAATTATAGCTTAAATCTAAACGATTAAAAATCGTTGTTTTGCCCATTCTCTTACTCAATACCAAGAGGAATATGGTTAATCGAGGATAAGAAAGAAGATAAAAGCGGTTTTATAAAATTATAAAGTCTATTTTCTTTTTCGACTTCCAAGAGGCACTTTTTTTCCCAAACCTTGAAATAAAAATTAGTAAACTTAAAAAAAAAAAAAAAAAAAAAAAAAAAAAAAAAAACCCAACAATAATAACTAACAGGTAAAAACGAACGCAATAAATATTTTCATATAAATTCTTATTCTTCAGGGTTTTCTATATTTCAACATTTTTTTAAAAGTTAAGTAACCAAAATAACAATCAAAAGCAAATTCCTTTAAAAAAAATCTACTTTACATTTTATTTTATATATTTCTCTATATACTAAATATTAATAATTTAATGTGCAGTAAATGCCGATTATTTACAATTGGGTACAAGTAAAACGAGAGGATTAGCATAGATGAAAATGAGTAAAGAGCTTTAAAAAACAAAAGAGCATAAAAATACACAGAAACACAAAAAATTTAAACTTTATAAAAAAAAATTGTATTCAACAAAAAATATTGTTGTTCATTTTTGAGTGTTTTCTTTATAAATGATGGATTTTTGGAACGAATTGAAAAGATGTCGCAAAAGTACGAGACTAAAAACGAGCCTCAGCATTATTTGGATTATTAAGATGTTTTAAAGTACGTAACAAAAATTAACAAAAACAGATAAAATTTTGAAAAGTCGAGTTTTATCAAGCAACGACTTGATTATTAAACATGAACAAGAACACAGAAAAGTTTGAAGTGGCGAGTTTTATGTTGCAACTCGACTATTCAACACTTACAATTAAAAATGGTTAAAACCAGTTAATACGGTTCTACTTTTATAAAAAATTACCTTAGGTAATGTCAACACGCGTCTTTGCAATTGAGAATTTGAAATTTTTCCAAAGATTCGCTGTTATGAAAATATTTTTTCGAATTTGATCAATACAATTTTTGCACAAATTTTGGAGTAATATTTTTTATAGCCCTTGTAAACCCTCTTTTACATCCATCATTAAAACGAAGTCAGTAGATGGTGGTAGAGAATGGGTGAAGCTCGTTTATTTAAACTCACTATTAGAACAAAGCGGTGTATTTTACACGCTCATTTAAATCCACTTTTAAAACCAAATCTCAAGATTTAAAGCTACCAAACCTTCTTAATAAAAAATAAATTATATATATATATATATATATATATATATATATATATATATATATATAATATATATATATATATATATATATATAAATATATATATAAATATATATATAAATATATATATAAATATATATATAAATATATATATAAATATATATATATATATATATATATATATATATATATATATATATATATATATATATATATACATAAATAAAGAAAATTCGAAAAAAAAAAAAAAGTTTTAAACAAAAGCAATCGAGCATTTAAATGGTCACTCGCTGATGAATAAAAATTGTGGTAACTCACCAAATTTAGTATTTTAATCTTTTACAACCGGTTGAAATGTATAACTTGGACAACCAAGGCTGAGTTTTCTAACAACATCATTAGCTATGCTGGCACTGCTGACACCCGCTGCTAACGGTGATTGTGGTGCGACATAGCGAGGTTTAACAAATGGAAACGAGTTTGGTGAGCGAATATCACACATTAACGGACTATTTGACGGAGTTGTGACTGTCATAACAGTATGAGTGGTAAATACCTGTTCACACCCAGAATCATCATCGCACAAGAAATGATGGTTGAAGGAATCACACGGGGGATCTGGTGAAGAACAAGACGAAAAACTACTTGAAGCACTAACAGGAGAATTAAAATTTCGTTTTGCTGGCGAACAAGTGTAAGATTCGTCATCGGTATCCACTTAAATAATAATAAAAAATTAAGTTATCAAATCAGGGTTTTCAATATAAGAGCTGTGAAGAGGTTTAGCTGTTTTGGTATTTACTGCAAATTTATGTATTACGTATTTATGTAAACGTTCACACATTCTGATAGCCTTTGGAAGCTATTTTATAATCTAAAAAACTATTTTTGTTTGAGCTGAGCCAGCTAAAATCAATAAACCAATAAAATAAAAAAGTTTTAAAGTAATAAAACACTTTAAAAAAATATTTTTGCAATTATATGTGCATATATGTACAATTTTTTTTTTTACTTTTTTAATTTTTTTGTTTTTACTTTTTAGTTTTAATTTTAAATAATACATTAAAAATTAAAAGTTAAAAAACCAATTAATTAAAAAACAAATTATTCTTTAAAATCATTGTTTTTTGTTTTTTATATTGAAATGTACTGATATGTATGGTAATTTATTTCCATCATTAAACTAATGTACTTACATTTACGTTTTGATGTAAGCAAGCTTGGTTTTAAGTAGCTGGGACTTAAACTGCGCCTAAAGAGTAAAATAATATGTTAGTAAAATAATATGTCATGAAAAAGTTTTGTCACTTTTATCTTAACTTTTTTCTCCTAACATTTTTTTTTATCTGGATTTTCTTTGTAATAAATGATTTTTACAAGAAATATCAACTATTAAACTTTGTTAAATTATTAACTATTAAAGCTTTTTCATAGTGTAACTCTTTTAACAAAACATAAAACTATTTTTTAATTTAATAATAAATTAACTTTTTTTTGACGAACCCTATTGTCTAAACATTTATGCCAAGCTTTAGTATGATTTTGCATATTAACATTTTTTTTAATTTTATATTTTTGACTGCTTGTAGACTCATTAATACATTTTACGATATTACAATACAATACAATTACAATGATATGCATATAGTGTGATAATTTTTGAAAATATTTTTTTAAAAAAAATTTCCAGGATGCATTAAAAACCCACAACTTATTAAATATGAGAAGTTATGTGTCAAAACAAAAGCAAACTTCTTGGATTTTCAATTTGATATAGGAGATTAGGTAGCTGTTAGACTTTTTTTTATTAAAACATTTTTATTTCTCATTTCGGTACAACCCATGTTAAACTCACAACCATTGATATTTATAATACGTCTCAAACCTTTATTCATTTATTTAATCAAAAAGTTTAAAAATTGTTGATTTTTCAAGATCACAAAATAAACAAAAAAAAATATAACCTAAATTTCCTACCGATATGTACGATGCTTAGGACTAATAGGGACTCCAATTGGACTTGGTGTTAAACTTCTATTATGGATCTAGAAATTTTTTTGTGTGATTTCAATATTTACACAATATTAAAACTACTGTAAAATACATCAATGTTAAATAAAAATAAATAAATAGATATGTAATTATTATTATTACTACTACTATATATATATATATATATATATATATATATATATATATATATATATATATATATATATATATATATATATATATATATATATATATATACATATATATATACATATATATATACATATATATATACATATATATATGGATATATATATGTATATATATATGTATATATATGTATATATATATGTATATATATATATATATATATATATATATATATATATATATATATATATATATATATATATATATATATATATATATATATATATATATATATATATATATATATATATATATATATATATATATATATATATATAGGCTTCAGCGGGAGTAAATGAGTGCACATTTTAGATAGGCTATTTAACTATGAATAGCCCATATAAAATTGAATTGGCAAGCTATGCAGGCTGCCTGCCTCAATGATTTTAATCAGGCTTTTTAAAGAAATTTAAATTATTAACGATGAATTTAGACCATCTATTAAAGAAGAGGGTGGGGGATGGGGTGGCGGGTGAGATCAATTTATTTATTTGACTATCTAGAAAGAAAATTGGAGGAAAAGGGGGTTTGTGGTAGTGATTTTTAAAATTTTTATTTGATGGATCAAGATCATCTAGTAAAGTAGGGAGACAATTTTTAGGTTTAATGACTTATGAGCAGGAAAGCCCACAAATCATAAAAATATACAAATTTACAAAAAAAAAATAGTCCGAAATATCTAAGGGAGGGGAAAAGGCTATCAACCCATAGCACCACCAAAGCCTTTGGTGGATTGATTATAATATAATCAATTTAATATATTATAATCAGTAATTATCTAAAATTTTGATAATTGCACTATATAATAACAATTGGGAGAGCGATAAGTTGTTTAAAAAGTCTTTTGTTTTGTTCAGAGCCATTTGTATGATTTTTGCATATATTTTTATTTTTTTGTTTTATGTATTTGTTTCAATTTGTTTCTTTAATTTCGAGTAAAGTTTCAGTTGTTTGTTTGGTTTGTTGTCTTTATTTCAGTTATCGTCAAAACCATAGTTTTTCATTTAACTAATTTTAAGACATACTTATAGACATACTAGTTGTAGACAAACTAAAAAGTATGATAAACTAGTTTTTCAATCAATTAAACGAAATGCATGAATAATTTCAAAGTGCATGTTAATTACATTATGTAAGAAGTTTCTAAAGAATAACTAAATAAAAAACAATATATTTAACATTCTTTTTACCAAAAACTTTGCGTATGCTTTATTTTGCCACCGTAAACTGACTTACACAGGGGTGTAGAGGTGGTCACTTCTATAAATATGTAAGTCAATTTACACTGGCCCATCATTTCTGCTGAAGTCTATATTATATAAGATATAAAATATTATACAAGATTATACAAGATATACAATAGATATATAAGACATTAAGTGCAAAGTTGTAAAAACCTCTTCGACATTTAGTAAGGCTTAAATGTGTAAAGTTTTAAAAGAATTCTTATTAAAAAGTTAAAGAATATTAAAATGTTTAAGTTTCATTAAAAACTTTTAATAAAATCATTTTATATAATAATGTTTAAGTAAAATTCATTAAAAACTTTTAATCATTTTATATAATAATGTTTAAGTAAAATTCATTAAAAACTTTTAATCATTTTATATAATAATGTTTAAGTAAAATTCATTAAAAACTTTTAATCATTTTATATAATAATGTTTAAGTAAAATTCATTAAAAACTTTTAATCATTTTATATAATAATGTTTAAGTAAAATTCATTAAAAACTTTTAATCATTTTATATAATAATGTTTAAGTAAAATTCATTAAAAACTTTTAATCATTTTATATAATAATGTTTAAGTAAAATTCATTAAAAACTTTTAATCATTTTATATAATAATGTTTAAGTAAAATTCATTAAAAACTTTTAATCATTTTATATAATAATGTTTAAGTAAAATTCATTAAAAACTTTTAATCATTTTATATAATAATGTTTAAGTAAAATTCATTAAAAACTTTTAATAAAATCATTTTATATAATAATGTTTATGATTTAATAAATACACTTTTGCAAAAAATTTGATATTTCATTATTGGTACTTACGGTAAAGACTCGAAAGCATTCATTAAATCGTTATTAAAAAAATGTTACTATTTATTATAAGAATAATTTTGTTAAATGATTCTTTAGTTTATACATATATATCTGGTATACATATATATATATATATATATATATATATATATATATATATATATATATAAAATATATATATATATATATATATATATATATATATATATATATATATATATATATATATATATATATATATATATACATTTAAATTTTGCTCCCTTTTCCCCCTGTTGCTACGCCATTGTTTATATATAAACTTATAAATTTTAAGTACTGACACTAATGTGAAAATCTCTGAACATTCAAACTGTTTAACTTAATGATCTTAATCTATGATTAAAATCTCTTACCTTGTCAATAAAACGGACTGGGGATGATATGTCTTCAACACAATCTCTTTTATCACGAAGTTCATTTGTTGAAGAATAATTTTTGTCACCCTGTTATTAAAATTAAAATACTTAAATTATTGGTTTTAAAAAAATCTCTAAGTTACATAATATAATTAATTTTAAGTTTGAATGAGCAAAATTAATTATGTAAAATCCAACAATTAATATAATTAATTTTAAGTTTGAATGAGCAAAATTAATAATGTAAAATCCAACAACAACAAAAATTATATTTGCAAAATTGGAACTTATGGAAACAACGACTGTTAAGTTAGGAGTTACTAGAGTAAAAAAAAAAAAGCAAAAAAAAAAAAAGCAAAAGGAAAAAGCAAGGAAACGGTTGACAGAAGACTTGAAAAATTAAAGATTCTATGAGTTAAGAAAAACATGGAAGAGAGTTTGAAAGGGTTCAAGCAGGAGGGGGGTGGGTGGGTAAAAAACAAGACAAATAAAAGTTTTTTGAGCATGCAGGACAAATTCAGTAAAGAATGAGACTTTGCTTAATGACGAGTCCAGTAAAAATTAGTTTTGGTTGGTGGAACTAGAGATGATAGCTTATATCAGCAGCAACCATAATAGTATTTATAGAAAAGAGAAAGAGATGCAAATTTACAATGATAGAAAAGAGGCTCAATCTTGTCAGATAGAGGTTTAAATAAGATAGAGGTTTTAACTACATTTACAATGCATTTTTGGACCATGTCTTGAAGAGAAAAAGCATCATTAGAATACAGCATACAGAGACAAATAAGAGGTAGAGGTAGACAATAAAGTATATCTTAAGGTAATCTGAGGTAGACAATGGAATCAGGAGTACAAAAATGGCAAGCGCAATAAAGAGAACCTTAGCAGATGCCAAATCAGCAATCGATTGTATATATGACATCCATGAGACGTCAGTAGTAAAGGTTAATCAAAGTCCTGTTAATATAGGAATGTCTACAGTATTTTTGTTCAAGTGAATACTCACAAGCAGCTGCAAGCCTCAATCAGTTACAGAAAATGTCCCCACAAACACCTCTTTCATCTTTCATTTGATCAAAAAAAATCATTTAATGATTTGAGTTGCATTCGACTTTTTTTTTTAAAATATACAAACTCACTTAAAACAAAAAACAAGAGCAACTTTATGATATAAGCAGAATTCACCCTTAGCTGTTAAAGCAGATTGAAACTACAGCCATTTATATAAAAATATATTTACATCTTTAAAACCAAGTGTGCCACTACAGTATGTAAAGCTACTTATTTTATAAAATGTATTTTCTTATTTTCTTTCATATATGATTATATCTTTTTCAAGGTTTGCAACTCTCTTTCAAGGCTTTAACTCTGAAACACAAACTTTGGCAAAAATGCATAAGTACCGTACTACTAGTGTCATAGTTAAATTATTTTCCTGGACCTTTATCGATTGCTTCTTTATATTGGATTCTCTTTCCAGCAAATTTGAACTTAATATTAAAGAATGTTTGTTCATTGAATAAAAAAAAACCCAGTTATGAACAAACAGATAAATTATATTGATGAACAAAATTATTGCAAAAACTCTTCTTTTAATGATGTCATGATTTAATTATGATATCATTTTATCTAAATTGTCTCATTTAATAATTTTTAAAATTTTAATTGTCTTTTAGTTACAATTATGTCTTACATGTGGTTGGATGCCAACTTTCTTTTCAAATACTTTTAAAGTATTTGTGACGCAGCTTTTGGAAACTTTTATTCTTCTCTGTTATTAATAACAGAGAATCGCAGTTTGATCGTTGATCACAATTTGAACATTTCTTACACCTAATGTTTTCCATTTGGTTACTTACTACTTTTTGATCCAATTCTGCATATTTAACTTAAAGATCTTATCAAAATATTTAAAAAGACTTTAAATGAGTTTTAACTGGTCACCATAAGCAATTTAATCCAACCTTTTATAGGAAACTGTTCAACTAACATACAAATAAATAAATTATTAATAACAGCTGTGTTGAAAGCAGAACTGAAATCAATTAAAATGTTTGTGTGCTTATTTTTTTACAATATTTTTCAGTATATTTTTTGTATTCCTCTGATAAAACTAAATTATTAAAAAAGGTAAAATAAAGTGAACTTTGACAAACATTGGTAGGTAAATAATGGCAATAGGTATTTCACTAAAACAATTTTAAAGGAGAGCAAAAAACAAGAATTTTTTAAGAGATGTTTGAAATTTGAGCGAAATTCAGCTGAAACATCTCTTTTGCAAACTTTTTTCTCTCCTAAAAAATTATTATTTTTGTTATGCTTGAAAAATAATCAAAAAAATTTTTCACTGTCTATTTTTGCACTGCTTAAACTGATTTGTTTGAAATAAATCTCCAATCTTTTAATAGTAAACATTTTGTAATAAATTTTAGCCAAATGGGTGGTTAATAAAAAGTTTTTCGGGTGATATTACAATGATATAAATAATGTTTTCTCGCTCTATACATTATTTTTGTATTTTTGTAAATTTCTTATGTTATTTAATTTAATAAATACCCATTTTGCCAAAAATTGCCTAATCTTCTTTTATTGTAGATTTATTTTTAACAAAAATATTTATTCATAAAAGCTTTCTTCGAAACTTCAATTTAGTTATTTTCTTACTTATTTGTTAATGTATGTTTTTTTGTGTTGCTTTTATTATGGTCTCAAAACTACATTTAATTTGGACCGTTGAGGAAACTCTACTTTTTGAAATTTCAATTTTGTTATAGTCTCAAAGTTACTTTGATTCAGACTGTACAGAAAACTTTACTTCTAAGCAATATTTTTACTTGCTTCTTAAATTTAAGAAGCAAGTAAAAATATTGCTGATAAAATCATGCTAATTCCAAATAAAAGTATTCAAATAATTTGTAAATTACCTTAACTACACCACGTAGTATGAGTATATACAAACTATGTATATACTCATATTATAGGTATATACATAGTTTGTATATACTCATATTATAGGTATATACATAGACGAGCGATTGTGATTTTAAGATGGTTTTTTTGCTACAAACATTTATATTTAATGATACCGCAAAATTTATCATTTGAATACTTTTCATCATTTCATAATTCACAGACCTGACCATTTAAAGGACCATTTAACCGAAATATGTCGTAGTCAACAAAATATCTTACAGATGCTATAATATTTTAAAAGTACCTTAACTACACATAGTATGAGTATATCCATAGTTTAAGTATAAAACTTGAAAAGTTAAACCTAATTAACACTCTAAAAAGGTGATGGTTTTGGTGTGCTAGGACATGCACAGTGTTGTACACTTGGAACTGCTTCTGCTGAACACTAGTATGATAGCAATCTATTGTACTTAACTCAAAAAGTAGAACTCTTAAAAAAAATATGCCTAGGACACAACACAAGCTTACTTACTTTGTAACAGCAACTGCCATCATATTGCAAAACTGTTGTGGTAAAAGTTATTATATTATGGCTTGAAGATGTTGCCTCACCTGTTATATTTACAGACTCACTTTACTATATATATATATATATATAATGTAATTATTCACCTCCTCAAGGCCCGAGAGGGCCACTACAGTCGAGGAGGCTACTCTTTTTTTTTTTTTTTTTTGTTGTAAATCGTGGTACAACCCTCTCTCAACTCTTTAACTCCGAAACACGAACCTTGACAAGCAAGGCCGCTGCGCGGAGAAATTAAGTTGAGCGCGGTACTTCCAGGGAGGTGGTGGGAGTCGAAGTCCCACCACGTTCCTGGTATAATTTTTTTGCTGTCACTGCAAAACACTATCAACATCAGTTAATGCAGTCGCATCATGAAAGAGACCAGCGGATGAGCGGATTGACACAACAAACTTATACTGCTTCATGATAACGCAAGGCCGCATGTTGCAAAAGCAGTAAAAGACACGCTAAAAGAGATCAAATGGGAAGTCTTACTGCACTCTTTTTCTGGTCAATGGCTCATGGTCCATTGGAGCAACGCTTTCAAGATTGTCAAGATATCAAAAAATGACATGATGAATGGATGGCAGCCAAACCAGAAAAATATTATTATGATGGAATCTATAAATTGCCCAAACTTTAGAAAAATGTTGTTATTAATGAAGGAAATTGTTAGTTTTAAACAGGCTTTCACAGGAAGGCGTGCAATTTCATGTCTTTATATGACCACACAAAAAATAATTTGTTTTAACGATTTGACCACGGCTTTTAACATATTTTTAAAACTTAAAAATGTGCTACAAAAACTTACCTAAACTTATCTAAAAAAAAAATTGTAAAAAGAAAAAAAACCTTACCAAAAAAGAAAATAAAAAAAATACTTAGTTAAAGCAAAAACACAAAAAAATAAATATATATATAATGCAACTAAAACAAAACTCATCGAACTAAAATGCTTAGTCTATTTAATTTATGCATTAATAAAACATTTCAATCTTTGTTTTCAACATTTGTATATATTTTTTATTTATTTAATGTTTCAAAGGTTGAACATTTTTCATAAAAAAATAATACATAATTAAATATATATATATATATTATTTATATTAAAAAAAATATATATCATATATATTTATATATTTGACACATATATAATTAAATATATTAAAAAAAAAAAACATTTTATTAATTCTTTTAATTAGAAGTGTTTTTTTACTTCATTAAAAAGCATTCAATAATATAAAAGCATTTAAGATCAAACTTATTAAATTGTAACAGCTTTTTAAAACTTTTTTTTTTAAACGAAACTTTGTTTATCTTTTGAAATGCATTAACTTTAATTATTCTTATATTTAAATTCGTTAAAAAGACTTTCGCAGTCATAGAATGTCATCGTTTATAAAAACAAAACAATTTTTTAATAATGTTTATTTTAAAAATGAACGCTTAAACAATTTATGTTATAAATTAAAAATTATATACAACTGTCAATTATATTAAAAATAAAAAAAAAACATTTTCAGTAAATTGGTACTTTTTTTAAAAATCGTTTTGCTAAAACATTTGTTTAGAAGTTTTGATGTAATTCATTTCACTTTTTTAGAATATTTTTCATTTAGCGCGTTTTTAAAAAGTTTTTTAAATTAGCTGGGGTCAAACTGTCATAGTAAAATGTAATTTACGTGGTCATATAACGACGTGAAATCGCACGCCTTCCTATGAAAGCCTGGTTTTAAGTATTGTTTCTAGTTTGTCTAGTTTCACGTAGTTTAAAAAATGTAAAAAAAAACGCAGAAATTAACTACTATATATATATATATATTTATATATATAATTATATAAAATTATTTGTATATATATATATATATATATATATATAATATAATTATATATATATGTTATTATATAATATAGTTTTATTTAGTTTATATAATTATATAAAATTATTTGTATATATATATATATATATATATATAATATAATTATATATATAGTTTCACGTTTCACGTAGTTTAAAAAATGTAAAAAAAAACGCAGAAATTAACTACTATATATATATATATATTTATATATATAATTATATAAAATTATTTGTATATATATATATATATATATATATATAATATAATTATATATATATGTTATTATATAATATAGTTTTATTTAGTTTATATAATTATATAAAATTATTTGTATATATATATATATATATATATATATAATATAATTATATATATATGTTATTATATAATATAGTTTTATTTAGTTTATATAATTATATAAAATTATTTGTATATATAAATATATATATATATATATATATATATATATATATATATATATATATATATATATATATATATATATATATATATATATTCCTCAGAATAGGGTTCTGCATTTGGCAATGCCAACCTGACAGTATCTGAGTTGAGAAACTTTTATTCGACCTCAGAATTTTAAAATTTAATTTTATTTGCTATTTCAAATAAATCAAAAACAGTAAAACAAATATTTTCTTTAAATTCTAGATAAAATTTTTAAATTAAAAACAGCAAAACAAATGTTTTATTTAAATTCTGAATAAAATTTTTAAAATAAAAACAGAATTTTTTTTTTTTTTATTAAAATTCTAAACAAATTAATTTAAAAAGCACAACAGCAAAGCAAGCATCTTATTTAAATTCCAAATACAAAAATTAAAATAAAAACAAAAAAAACCTTTTAAATAAAGTTCTTAATGCAATAATTAAAATAAAAAACCAAAAATGAACGTTTTAATTAAATTCTAAGTAAAATAATACAAACAAAATAATTAAAATAATACAAACTTTTTAATAATAATACAAGTTTTATTCATTAAAAATCAATTTAGTCAAAATATGGGAATAAATTTTTTATAGAAATAAATTGTAATAAAAATAATAAAATTATTTATATATCTTTTAACATCATATCATTTAAATAATAATAAAGCAAAACAAAATGAGAGCAGGGCTTAGACAATAGAAAAATTTATTTTTAGACCCCAATTATTTAGGGACCACCTTAAATACTTACTAAATATCAAAATCTATACAATCATATTTACAATGTTATTGTATAGATGACATTTAGATTTAGGAGCTTCACAATTGAATTTTGCCCTAGGGCCCCAAGCTAGCTTGGAACGACCCTGATTAAAAGTATTTATGAAAATCACAAACATAGAGTAAACAAAAAAAAAATTTTAATAATAATAATGAAATATATAACCAAAAATTTAATTAGGTATAAATATTACAAACATGCTATGAATTAGAAAAGACCTCAAGAGAGTTAAATCGATTATTTTATTTTTCAAAGTCGACTAATTTCAACAGTCTTTTTTTTAGTTGATTTAGTTGAAGTTGATAACAACACTAAATACAAACCTTTTAGTTAAATTGTAAACAAGTCAATTAGAATAAAAAAAGCAACAAATTTAAGTAAATTTATACTGAATATTTACTCTGAAGATCCTTGTGTGGCAAGCAATTTGCTCTTGCGACCACTCATCACTTAAGAGTGCTCCACTCATCACTCAAAAGACTTTGACTTCCTATTTGTACATCACTGAATGTGCTCAATAACATTTTTTGCCATTTATCAATAAACACAGCAAGACAGTTATCTTTTGGCTTGATTTGGTCTACAACACCAAGAAGATTATGAAGTAATATAATCAAAACAGCATCAAAACCATCCCAAAAGATGCAAATCCTCCTGAGTCATCAAGAGTTATTAGGCAATTGTAAAAGGAATCTTGTTGAAAAGCAACAAATCAATAAAAGATGAGCAAAACTTTAAGCAAAAATGGATAGCAGCATAGAAAAAGGTCACTGAAAGCAAGATCCAGGCCATGATAGCACTTTAAAAAAAGTTTGATTACTTTCTAAGCATCCTCTAAAATCTGTACAGGCCGATTAAAAACTTTAAATGATACAATAAATTTCATTATAAAAGAAATTTGGAATTAATTCTTTAAGTATTTCTCGAGATATTGCTGAGTATATCTGGCCAGAAAGTACTGAGCCCAACTGATATATATATATATATATATATATATATATATATATATATATATATATATATATATATATATATATATATATATATATATATATATATATATATATATATATATATATATATAGCCGCCGGACATTGTTTGGCACTTGTCCATTTTGTGTGCATTTATTTTATAATCATTATAGTTGTTCCAAAATTATTAATAAATTCAGTATTGTATATAAACTTTATTTTTTGCATTTTTTATTTTTTTATAAACAGAAAATAAAGTTAAAAACACAGCTACGTTTTTATTTTAGCTCAAAAAAATTTATTGTTAAAATTTATTAAAAATAATAATTTATATATTAATTTAACAATGATAAAAATTTATCAAAAAATTAGATTAAAAAAAAGGTATTGATTTTAAGCAATAATTATTTTTTGAAACAGCCAAACAGCCAGGTTTTTATAATTTATATCAAAACGTTGCAATTAATTATTAACTTAAATTTATATTTCAGAATTAATTTTACTTTTTGTCCAATGGTTTTAATAAATTTCAAATGAATATTTTAGCTTTTAAAACCCCTTTTTAAATTTATTTTATAAAAATTTAAATGTAATAGTTTTTTAATGCTTATAGAAACCAATACTTTTTATTTCATTATTAAATTTGAATTATGTTATGTAACATTTATTTTTGCGCTAAAGTTTTTTGCTATCAAAAGTGTTTATATAAGTAATCATAGAGAAAGTTTTAAAAAATTTATAAAAAATTATATATTATTATAATATGTAATATGAATCATCATGTAATATATATTATCATGTATTATTATGTAATATATTTCATTATAATATGTAATATGTATTATCAAAGATAATTATATGTAATTACATTTCTATATATGTATTGTATTTCTATAATGTAATTATAATCATTGATAATTTGAATAAAATAGGCATAATTGTAAACAATCATTAAAATTAATTTGTTACTTATTTAATAAAGTAATAAGTAAACTTAATAATTTATGTATTTAATATATTTATAATTTATAATAGTTTACAAAGCATAGTATTGTAATTTTTAAAAAAATGAATATAAATTTATTTTGCTTTTCAAATCTTAGTTTTTTGAGATTAGATTTTTTCTTTTTCTTTAACATTTTCTTTTTTTAGATTAAATTAATAAAGTCATCTTTTAAATTTTCTTTTTAGTGCATTTTTGAAAGGCCTTACATTTTTAAAACAAACTTGAATATTTATTCGACAAATTGTCCAGAATAAAAAAATACAGTTGCACAGAAAATAGTGTTCCTTTACATTTTACATTTTTATCTTATTTTCTCTCATAACCATAGATACCAGGCTACACTGCATTTTTAAAACCAACACATTAATTTTTAGCAAATTTACCAAAAAACACTAAGAAATCAATCAGGCCAAACATAAACTTCATTAACATCATTTGCATAGCGTGAATTAGATTTTTCTATTATAGATTTGTTTAACAAACATGATTTCACTTTTAATTGGAACTCTTTTAAACTTTGAAAATATTTGAAAATAAAACTTGCTGGGAACTTCTGAAAAATATTAGAAATTGTGCTTTCTGATACAATAAGTTTCCAGCTATCAAGTAAGATAAATACTGAAATTCAAAACTGGACAAGTGCTCACAAACTGCTCATCAAAAAATATAACAATATTCCAAAAAAATAACTTGAAAATGCAATGTTTAAACAGCAAGGATCTCTAATTAAGATCCTTGCTAAGCTAAGTCTAAGGCTAAGCTAGCTATTGTCTTAGGCTCGACTAGTTTTATCTATGGCTTGACTGATTTTTGTTTGAAACTATTAGAATATTAAAATAAGTGAAAATAAATAAAAAATATATATTCTTTAATATGATTAATTTAAAACTACATTCTAATAATAATAAAACTAATTACAAAAAAATAACAGGTGTTTGGTTAAAAGTAGTGATATAAATTCTGTTATAAAATACAAAAACAATTAAATCATAATTTCATATTAGGTAATAGAAACACTTAAAAAACTTTTTTATATTTTTCCTTAAAAATCTCGAAGAAATGTAATAAATATTTATATAAACATACAATCTAAATTAAATTATTTTTAAATTTAACTTACTAGCCATGATATCTCATCCCAACTTCTACTTAACTGGATTGCAGAGTGAATATCCCTTAACATAAATAAAAAAAGTTTTTTTTTTTTTTTTATATATTAGGACAAGATACGGTTCAGAACTTTTTTTAAAATGGTAAAGATAATAATAAAAAACAACAACAACAAGTTGTGGACATTTACTTGAAAAATAGTTACATGAGATGATCGTGTAATCATCTGATTGTTATATATATTTTTTGTTTTATAATGGCATGTAACTTTGAGTAAACTAATTAGCATTAGATTGCATTATGAAAAGAGATTTATCAGCATCGATAGAATAATAATTGATTTAAAATGAAAGTAAAGTGTTTAAAAGAACGAAGAAAAAATAAGGAATAATTGTTGAGAATTTATAAAAATCTATGAACAATTTTCATCACTCGACAGTAAACATTATTTTGTGTTTAAAAGTATTTTTATAATGTAACTGAACACTAAATAATCCAGTATCCAGGAAATATAAATACTTTAATATTATAAATAACCAATATCAAGTTTAAATTAAAGTTTGATAAGTTGGAATTTGTTAAGTACTTAACTTTTTTTCAAAAAACATGTGCTTTACTATGTTAAATAAAACAAGAAGAATTAAACTAGATAATTTTGTTGATATTTGCGTTCATACAAAACAAGTTTTTGTTGTTTAAAAACAAGTTTTTGTTGTTTAAAAATAATTTTCAAGCTTTTAAATCACCTTTTTAAATAAATTTTTATGTGATAACTCGGATTTTCAATTAAAAAAAACAAAACTTGAATTAGTTAATTGAACGGCAATTTTTTTATTAAGAGAACTAAATCTTTAGCTATTCAAATGAGCCTACTTGTTTTTTAATATTCAATTAATAGTAGATTAATTATTTGTCAATTCCACAGATATTCTTAATAGTAAAACTTTTTAGAAAAGTTAATTTGAAAATATACAGTGTCTCAAAAAATTATCCGACCAAACAAGTTTTTCCCCCAAAAAAATGTTTACGCTCTAAATTATACTAAAAACAATGAATACTTTGTCTGTCATTTTAATGCTATTGGGAATAGTATGTTATTTAGCATTCATATTTTTGATTTATGCTTCAGTTGGTTTATTATTTGTCCTAAAAGAAACTTAGTATTGAATAGGCTTGTAAAAAAATTATCCAATCAAGCAATATTTAGGTAAGTTTAATTAATTTTATGTGAAATTTGTTGAAATAATTTAGCAAATTTTTACACAATTAATGAAATTGCATAACAAAAAATTGTTTTTTTGTAGAAAAAGTTTTTGTATAAAAAAAAGGTTTTATGTTTTTTTAAGTAAAATGGTTGGAGGTAAAAGTCACTGTTTCTCAGAGAAATTTAGCTGTCAATCTAGTCAATCAGGGTAAAACCTATCGTCAGGTGCAGCAAGAGACTGGAATTCCTCATAATACAGTATCCGAGATAATGAAGAAGTATAATGCGATCAGAGCAACAGCCACAAAAGAAGGGTCACAAAAGACTTCTAAGAGTTTTGATAGAAACTTAATTATAAAAGCAAGAAAATCACTTCATTTCTGCTCGAAAACTGGCTGAGCAAGCTGAAGAGAATTATGGAATCAAATTATACTATTAGACAATCAGAAATCATATCGAAGACCAGGGATTTCAAGGATGACTTGTGCGTAATAAACCATATTTGAATAAGAAACACATGAAAAGAAGATTGGAGTTTGCTAAGAAGTTCAAAAACATGCCGTTAAGTTTCTGGAAAAAGATCCTGTGGAACGACGAATCAAAATTCAACTTAAAGTCATCTGATGGAGCCCAAAAGTTTGGAGAAAAGCCGGAGAAGCCTACAAATTAAGCTGCATGAGAGGAACTGTCAAGTATGGTGGCAGTAACATGATGGTATGGGGTTCAGTGATTTGGAAAGGTGTTGAAAACTCCAATTTATTGATACTATAATGGATCAGGTGCAATATAGAAACTTATTAAAGCAAAATTTGAAGTCATCTGCTTAAAAACTTTGGCTAGGATCTGATTTTACATTTCAGCAAGGTAACGATCCCAAGCATAGTGCCACTAAAACTAAGGAGTGGTTTGCTGAAAATAATGATGAGATCTTGGAATGGCTCGCACAACCACCGGACCTTTTGAAAGGAAAAATATTTTTAAAAATGTTTAGTCAGATAATTTTTTGCAACACTGTATTTAGACCGCATAAAATGGTCAGATATCAAACCTAAGAATTCAACAAAAGGCTTTATTTCCATATTTTCAACTCCATGGTTAGATAAAAATTAAATAATCTGATGGTCGGAATTAAATAAAATTAAATAAAATAATAAATTAATAATTATAATAAATATAAATTTAACATTTAAATGCTTTAATTGAACAAAGTATTTATTTTACGAGCAATATCAATATTTTCATTTAACATTTTCATGATCACGATTTCCTTTCTGACCATTGCAATCGCCTAACTTATTAGGCGATTGCAATGGTCAGAATAACTTACCAAAAGACGCTTCAAAAATAAAAGGCTAAGGGCCCATGCAGCCTGATTCCCGCATGGCCTCTGGGGCCAGTGTTTATGCACTGGGGCCAGTGTTATGCCACTGTTTACAAGGAGTTTTAAAAGCAGTTAGTTATCAAATTAAAAGTTTTTACAATTACATTTGATATTAGGCATTCCTTGGTTTGAACCTTAGTCACAATGTGAATGGCAATACAGAAAATCATTAATCAAATTTTAATGCTTATTTTTAGGAAAATAAATTGCCATAAAAGTATAAAGACTACTGACTAATACTTTCCATACCCAAGCTTCTAATCACAAATTTCAACTTCCATTATTTTTTCTGATTAAGAATTAAGCGTACTTCAATATTTGGCAGGCAGTGTTGTGCAAAAGCTTTACTTAAACTAAATCTGATAAGCATTAAAAAAATATACAAA